GTCTAACCCCCATCTCCTTCGTCTGTGTATGGTTGGGGCTGGCGCAGTCTTCCTGTGTGAAGCGCCAGACCCCTTCACACCATGGAATGATGATGATGATGTATGTTTGGGGCTGCATTGCAATATTGATTGTTCAGATCATTGGTATCTAAGTCTTCCGCTGTGCTATCTTATACTTTGTATTGAAAGGTCGGTTCTTGTTCTGGTCTGCACCTATACGGTATGCAACACCATATCAATCAATCAATCAATGAATCAAGATAGGCCAGATCAATCAGTCAATCAAGATAGGCCAAATGAATGAATGAATGAATGAATCAATCAATCAATCAATCAAGCAATCAATCAGCCAATCGATCTACCAATCAATCAAGATCGACCGATAGATTGATTGGCTGATTGGTTGGTTGGTTGATTGATTGATTGATTGAGAAAATAAAAGAGAGGGAAGCGAAACAAAAGAAAAATGAAAGAAATCAACAAGAGTGGGCGCTTACACATGGGATGAACACCCTGTATAGCTGAAATCAGCCTAAAACTTCCTTTTTTAGGCTGATTTCAGGAACTTCGTTTTTCAGTCTGATTTCAGGTATTTGGGGTGTGTGGACACTAACAAACACCCTGCCGCCCCCCCTCCCCACACAAAAAAAGGTGCGGCACCCCAAGTTAAAGTACCGTACGACTTCAAATATGGACGGCTGTATGTGTATCGGGGGGCTGTACGAGAAACAACGCAGCTGCGTTTAAGAAAGTGAAGTTGTGTTAGCCCTTTTCATGTATTCCCAGAAATCATAACCTTTTTATGTTAAGGTGCTTCCAGCAGCACTGTCATTCTAACAGGCCCTAGGAAACTCTTGAATCACAACACACCCTCATTTTGGCTGTACCTCACCGGAAATATAGCTTGTATGCATTCATTATCAGGGTGCATTATGTTCGGGGGAACACAGTATCAGCCTCCAGGGAAGCTTAGGAACCCCAGGAGAACCTCATCGGCCTGGTGCCAGCGAGTAGAGAACTGCACTCAGGTTGACCCTCAGTTTTCTTCCCCATGTTCACTGTGCTTGTTTGATTTGAAGACCATGAGGATGGCACTTGCGCTGATTCTCAATCTCGCATGCAGTGTGAATGGAGCTTGACTAGCCTGTCTGAGAAAAGAGTGGTTGCCGTGTTGGATGGCTATGTTTGCGTGCAGTGGGATGCGGGCCAGCAGCTTGATGCTTTGGCACTCCAGCTTCTGTGTTTAGCCATTTGGAGAGAAGCTCTATCTGTCTGCCATAAGTGGGCTGCTTCAACCAGTGATGGAGAAAACTTTCCTTTCTTGTGTGATGGGTGCTACTTCAGCGGGGGTAGTGCTGCCATGAGCACAAGTCCTGCTAGCCACAACTCACGGTCAGTACATCAGGGTGGTGGAGGCCAAATGTGCAGTGGTGATGACGAGTCTGTCGGATCTGCAGTGGTCGCAGCAGCCTGTTCGGCAGTTGAGAAAGATTTCCTTGCAGCAGTTGAAAAAGCCGAGGAATTTGCGCAGCACCTTGAAGTCGATGGTAAGTTCCTTATGGCCAAATTCCAAATTGTGCACAACTAGAACTAGTGATCACAGGTTAGGAGTTTTCTTCAATGGTGAAGCGCATTTACTGGAATATACGAAGGAAGAAGAAATTCCCTGCAGAGTTGCCGTCGAGTACTGTTACTGAGCACGCTCAGCAGCTCTGTGTACATGCCAGTGCTTATGCCTGTATATGTTGGACTTCTGTGGGATCCTCGTTGGGCTGCATCCTCTAATTACCTTGTAAGTTCATAAACATTACTCGAATGAAATGAATACTACCGGTCGAGGCACAAATCAAGTGGCACAGACTCCCCACCCAGTCTGTTGTGACATATAAATGAGTCCCGTTGCTGTCCATAGAGTAAATCAAGCAAGTTGCCTTGGTTTCATCCCTACGGCTGCTTTTTCTGCCTTGAGTACATTACAGAAGATTGCTTTGGTTTTGAGAGATTGGTCATCAAAAGCTCCGTAAACAAAAAAAACTCGAGAAAAAAAGAATTCATAATGGGTCAACTCCACTACAGCAGTTTGCGGCTATTATTATTACATAATAACCTGTTCGAAGTTCTATCAGCGTGTTCCCATTCTCTAATGTGTCCCGCACTTCCATAATCCATCTTGATACCTCAGTGCATTCAACCTTCAAAAATAGAACAGGTGCAATGAACCCAGATCGTGAAGACAGTCGTCGACAATGCAAGTCGGGATGAATGTCAACCAGCTGATGATTACCAATAGTCAAAGTTGTATCCAGACAGAATGAGATGAGATAATCATACACAGACGAAGAGAGAGGAGGGAGATTAGACAAAGGAGAGGAAATGAATACAAGGCCCACTCCTGCTTCGGGCTCCCTCCTCTATCACCACCTCAATAATCAATAGTCTGAACGAGTATCTGAAATAACCTCAATGTGCCACGCGGCACGTCTAATCAGTCCCTCATCAGCGCTGGAGAAATGTCGACAGGAAGACCATCAGGTACGTATCCACGATCTCTCCACAGTCCCGATCTCCTCCCGAATGACGATTATCAGAACAGCAATACAAGTCCCGTAGCCTCGCCTCGTCAGCCACAGTAGAACAGTGGCAGCAGCCACGTCATCCAATAATACACGTGGCAGCGGCCACATCAGCGACAGCGCATGGCAGCTGCCACGTCAGCATGCCAAGAAGACAGGTGCAAGCCAGCCACCATGCCGGACCAGCAGCACCTCGCCGAATCACAAATGCCAGCGTCGCAGCGTCAAGCCAGCGTCGCAGCGTCAAGCCAGCGTTGAAGTCAACGCGTGAAAACAGCATCAACGCAAGACAGAATGAATGTCAAAGCCAGGAAAGTCAGCGCTTATGTAGCGTTGACTCGGGGTCTGGACCCCGGATGCTACCACCATCAGCCGTCCAGACCTTGATGCAAGTAAGGCCCGGATTGGTCTGAAACCGATTTCCCTCCGGCCCGGATGCTTGTCTGGGTATCTGCGCACAACAAGTGAGTGTATCCAACCAAGGGCCTGGGTGCGGTACCTTTGACTCTACAGTTGACTTTGACCTTTGAATTTCCTGTGTGCAGCGTTTGATCACACAGCCGACGTGACAGACTCAGGCCAGGGCGTGTCTTGGTCACACAGCCCAGCGCAGACCAACTCAGGTCTGCGTTGCCTGGGGCTGAGTTCTGGGGCCCAGGCTACTTCTGAACAGGGTTACTGCATTCCTGCCGGGCCATTTTCGAGGTCCACCGCAGAAATATTTAAGACTTTAACCCTCGTTCATAAGCAGCGACAATATCAGGAGCAGTTTCAATTAGTTCTCGTTTACTAAACCATCTGTCCTCAGATGGTGCCTGAGACTTAAAACGTACCTTGAACTGCTTCTGATGTCGTCCACGTCCTCCCGTAGAGAATTAACCATGCTCTTCTTCTTCTTCTTCTTCTTCTTCTTCGGCTTCTTCTTCTTCGGCTTCTTCTTCTTCTTCTTCTTCTTCTTCTTCTTCTTCTTCGGCGGCGGCGGCTTCTTCTTCTTCTTCTTCTTCGGCTTCTTCTTCGACTTCTTCTTCTTCTTCGACTTCTTCTTCTTCGGCTTCTTCTTCGACGTCTTTGACTTCTTCTTCTTCTTCGGCGGCTTCTTCGGCTTCTTCTTCTTTTTCGGCTTCTTCTTCTTCTGCTTCTTCTTCTTCTTCTTCTTCTTCTTCTTCTTCTTCTTCTTCATCTTCTTCTTCGTCATCGTCGTCGTCGTCGTCGTCGGCTGCTTCTTCGTCGACTTCTTCTTCGTCGGTTTTTCTTCTTCTTCTTCTTCGGCTTCTTCTTCGTCGGTTTCTTCTTCTTCTTCTTCTTTGCCGGCGTTGGCTTCTTCGTCGGCTTCTTCTTCTTCGTCGGCTTCTTCTTCTTCGCCGGCTTCGGCGTCTTCGGCGGAGGCATCCACTCGTCGGTGTCGGCGCCGGCGGCGGCTTCTTCGGCTTCGTCGGCGGCGGCGTCAACTTCGGCGGTGTCGGCGTCTTCGTCGGTGTCGTCGGCTTCGTCGTCGGTGGGTTCTTCGTCGTCGTCGGCGGCTTCTTCGACGTCGTCGTCGGCTTCTTCGTCGGCGTCATCGTCGGCTTCTTTGTCGGCGGCTTCGGCTTCTTCACCGACGTCGTCGGCGTCCGCGTCGGCGTCGTCAGCATCTTCGGCGGCGGCGTCGGCGCCGTCATCGTCGGCGGCGGCTTCTTCGTCGTCGGTGGCGGCGTCGTGTGCATCGTCATCGTCGTGTGCGTCGTCATCGTCGTTGGCGTTGTCGCCATCCACGTCGTCGTCTGCGTCTTCTTCGTTGGCGTCCACGTCGGCGGCGGCGTCGTGTGGGTCGTCATCGTCGTCGTCGTTGCCGCGGTCCGCGTCGTCGTCCGCTTCTACTTCGTCGTCATCCACTTCTTCGTCGTCGACCGGCGGCGTCGGCTTCTTCGCCGGCGTCGTCGGCGTCAGCGTCGTCAGCGTTGTCAGCGTCGGCGTCGGCGTCGACGTCAGCGGCGCTGTCGTCGGCGGCGGCGTCGTTTGCGTCGGCGGCGGCGGCGTCGTGTGTGTCGTCATCATCGTCGTCGTTGTTGCCGTCCGCGTCGTCGTCCCCGTCTTCTTCGTCGCCGTCGTTGGCGTCCACCTTGTCGTCGGCGTCGTGTGCGTCGTTATCGTCGTCGCTGCCGTCCACATCGTCGTCCGCGTCGTCATCGTCGTCGTCATCCGCTTCTTCTTCTTCGGCGTCCACTTCTTTGTCGTCGTCCGCTTCTTCGTCGTCGTCCGCTTCGTCGTCGTCCGCTTCGCCATCGTCCGCTTCGCCATCGTCCGCTTCGTCGTCGTCCGCTTCGTCGTCGTCCGCTTCGTCGTCGTCCGCTTCGTCGTCGTTGGCTTCCTCTTCCTCCTCGTCGACGTTGGCTTCCTCTTCCTCCTCGTCGACGTTGGCTTCCTCTTCTTCTTCCTCGTCGCCGTTGGCTTTCTCTTCGTCTTCGCCGGCTTCCTCTTCCTCGTCGTTGTCGGCTTCCTCTTCCTCTTCCTTGTCGTCGTCGGCGGCTTCCTCTTCTTCTTCGTCGTCGCCGTCCTCTTCTTCATTGCCGTTCCTCCTCTTCCCCGTCGTCCTCGTCGTCGTCCGCTTCTTTGTCCTCCGCTTGTTCATCGTCCACTTCTTCGTCGTCCGCTTCTTCTTCTTCTTCGTTGTCCGCTTCTTAGTCGTCGTCGGCGGCCCTCTTCCTCTTCCTCGTCATCGTCGCCTTCCTCTTCCTCCTCCTCGTCATCGTCGTCTTCCTCTTCCTCGTTGTCCCTCCTCCTCTTCCTCGTCCTCGTTTTTGTCGTCCTCGTCGTCCTCGTCGTCCTCGTCGTCCTCGTCGTCCTCGTTATCCTCGCCGTCCTCGGCGTCCTCGGCGTCCTCCTCGTTGTCGTCATCCTCGTCGTCGTCGTCCTCGTCGTCGTCGTCCTCGTCGTCGTCGTCCGCTTCTTCGTCGTCGGCTTCTTCTTCTTTGTTGGCCGCTTCTTCTTCGTCGTCCGCTTCTTCTTCTTCGTCGGCTTCCTCTTCCTCTTCCTTCTCGTCGCCGTCGTCGTCTTCTTCGTCTTCTTCCTCTTCGTCGTCATCTTCCTCTTCCTCGTCGTCCCTCCTCCTCTTCCTCATCCTTGTCCTCGTTGTCATCGTCCTCCTCCTCATCCTCACCGTCCTCGTCGTCGTCCTCGTCGTCGTCGTCGTCGTCTTCCTTGTCGTCGTCTTCCTCCTCGTCGTCGTCGTCGTCGTCTTCCTCTTCCTCCTCGTCGTCGTCGTCGTCCTCCTCCTCTTCCTCCTCGTCCTCGTCGTCGTCGTCGTCATCGTCGTCTTCCTCTTCCTTTTCTTCCCTCCTCCTCCTCTTCTTCTTCCTCTTCCTCGTCGTCGTCGTCGTCTTCTTCTTCTTCGTCGTCGTCATCGTCGTCTTCCTCTTCCTTTTCTTCCCTCCTCCTCCTCCTCTTCTTCTTCCTCTTCCTCATCGTCGTCGTCGTCTTTCTCTTCGTCGTCGTCGTCGTGTCCTCTTCCTCTTCTTCTTCGTCGTCGTCCTCTTCCTCTTCGTTGTCGTCGTCGTCGTCGTCGTCGTCGTCGTCTTCCTCGTCGTCTTCCTCGTCGTCATCGTCTTCCTCTTCTTCCCTCCTCCTCGTCCTCATCTTCCTCTTCCTGCTCTTCCTCTTCCTCTTCCTCTTCCTTCTTTTCTGGTGGTGGTTGGGGGGGGGTGTCCGGTTCGGGGGGAGGGGGAGGTTGGATGGGTTATTGTCGAGGAAGGAGAAAGTGAAGACAAATCCGATGAAGACTATGGCTGCCTATGGGACAGATGGAGGCAGAAGAAGGAACTAAAACGAAGTCCATGGATGCCTTCAAGAAGAACTAGGAAAAAAAAGGGGGGGAGGAGGAGGAGGAGGAGGACGGAGGAAGAGGACGGGAAGAAGGAAGAGGAGGAGGAGGGAGGAGGAGGAGGAGAAAAAAAAGGAACAGGAGGAGGGAGGAGGAGGAGAAGAAAAAGGAAGGAGGAGCAGAGGAAAAAGGAAGAGGAGGAGGAGGCGGGAGGAGGAGGAAGAGGAAGAGGGGGAGGTTGGATGGGTTATTGTCGAGGAAGGAGGAAGAGGAAGAGGGGGAGGTTGGGGGGGGGGGTCCGGTTCGGGGGGAGGGGGAGGTTGGATGGGTTATTGTCGAGGAAGGAGAAGGTGAAGACAAATCTGATGAAGACTATGGCTGCCTATGGGACAGATGGGGGCAGAAGAAGGAACTAAAACGAAGTCCATGGCTGCCTTCAAGAAGAACTAGGAAAAAAAAAGGGGGCGGATGAGGAGGAGGAGGACGGACGAAGAGGACGGGAAGAAGGAAGAGGAGGAGGAGGGAGGAGGAGGAGGAGAAGAAAAAGGAAGAGGAGGAGGAGCAGAGGAAGAAGGAAGAGGAGGAGGGAGGAGGAGGAAGAGGAAGAGGAGGGGGAAGAAGAAGAAAAAGAATAAGGAAGAGGAGGAAGAAAGAGGAGGAGGAGGAGGAAGAAAGAGGAGGGAGGAAGAGGAAGAAGAAGAAGAAGAAGGAAGAGGAGGAGGAGGGAGGAAGAGGAAGAAGAAGAAGAAGAAGAAGAAGAAGAAGAAGAAGAAGGAAGACGAGGGAGGAAGAGGAAGAAAAGGAGAAGAAGGAAGAGTAGTAGTTCAAGCAAGCTAACTTAGGCAGGGGTGAGGGGCGGCACATATTTCCCTAGGGATTTAATCAATGGCGTCCACTCGGGCCTCTCAAACCATAATGCCGTCCACGCGAGCCTCTCAAACCATAATGGGGAGGAGTGTGCATGTCCTTAAGGTCTTCATTATTGACTTGCCGAGGAAGAGCAACCGGAGGAAGAAAGAGGAGGAGGAGGAAGAAAGAGGCGGAGGGAGGAAGAGGAAGAAGAAGAAGAAGAAGGAAGAGGAGGAGGGAGGAAGAGGAAGAAGAAGAAGAAGAAGAAGAAGAAGAAGAAGAAGAAGAAGAAGAAGAAGAAGGAAGAGGAGGAGGAGGGAGGAAGAGGAAGAAGAAGAAGGAGAAGAAGGAAGAGTAGTAGTTCAAGCAAGCTAACTTAGGCAGGGGTGAGGGGCGGCACATCTTTCCCTAGGGAAGTAATCAGTGCCGTCCCTCGGGCCTCTCAAACCATAATGCCGTCCACTCGAGCCTCTCAAACCATAATGGGGAGGAGTGTGCGTGTCCTTAAGGTCTTCATTATTGACTTGCTGGGGAAGAGCAACCGGACTGTCATTCACCAGAATGGTAGGAGCCAGAACCGAGAGGTTCTGTTTTTTTTTTTTTTTTTTTTTTTTTTCGAGGACAGGTGTCGGACGGGTTTCATGTTCTCACTGCCAGATGTCAAGAACGATGGCGGTGCTCTGACAACTATATGCAAGAGCTAACGTCTTCACCCGGTAGAACGCCAGGTCATTATTGCTGTACCTAGACTGGAAGTTGCCCCAAATACAGCCAGAATGACCGGGTGTTGTAGTATTCGGGTGAAGGCGGTAGACCGGGTGCAAATTGAAAGAGACTGTTAACATGGAAGGTCATATGCCACATACAAACTCTTGATGGGGAGTTGTTGAAGAGTTAGAGTGACCATAGCTGGACATGAAGATTGTCAAAAGTCAGTCAAGCACTTGTCTTGCTCAAAGTGGGAGATAAGAGATATGCCTGTCCCAGCTTGTTGTAATTGCGCCGTCTTGGTGTCTCCTTGAGCATGCGTGGTGATGACGAGTGTGTTATGCATTTGAGAACTCCCTTGTTAGCCTCTAACAGATTTATAAATGTCCCTGATACTTGGATTCTCTTTTGTGTAGGGGATACAGAGATGCCTGATGCAATAGAGCTGGTGTTCCAGTCAGCACTTGCTATCGGAAGGGCTGGTGCGGTATGTATGAAACTTGTGATCTGTGCATCGGCTGACATGAATCTGGTCTTGTGTGCCTGGACTGCAGCATTCAAACAGGGTCACATTCACACTCTGGTACAGACACCACCTCTCGCTGCATTTCGGAAGTCCAACCTACAACCATACAATGGAACCTGTGGACATCCTCAATCACCATGCTCTTTCGAACCAACTGTTATGATCCTACCCACCTTCGTAATGCCGAAAAGTGAAAATGCAAGACTTGCTGAAACTCGAGACAAGAAGTGGAGAGAGAGAGAGAGAGGAAAGAGCGGAAGAAGAAGAATAACACTGGTGTGAATAAACGTCTTCTCCCAGAATCTCCCTCACTTCTTCCTTCTCTCGTCTTTTTCTCTCTTACTCAAGAGAGAGAGAGAGAGAGAGAGAGAGAGGAAAGAGCGGAAGAAGAAGAATTACACTAGTGTGAATCAATGTTTCTCCCTCACTTCTTCCTTCTCTCATCTTTTTCTCTCTTTTCACCTCCACTTGTAATCAATTAAATACAACTGAATGAATGAACAGGAACCATGTCCAAATAATCCCCTTATTGCCAGGACTCAAGCAGCCCTCCTTTCGGCCATAACCTTACTTTGTGGATGTTGAAAGTGCAATACCTCTACTATCCTCTCCCATCTCTTTGCACCATAGCCATATTCTGGAACCTGGACAGCGGTTCGTCTGGATGCAGAACCAACCAAGGAAGGGAAGATGAAGGTTAACACTAGCCATAGGCGAATCTCTCATGTCGGTTCCTCTCTCACTGCCCTTGCTCAACCTCTTCACCCCTCTCTCACCCTTCTCCATAGCCTGGATGGGGCTTTTTTGGTTGGGGATCATGCGAATCGTTTGTCCTCCGTGTTCTTTCTTTGCGTCTGAGATCATCCCAATGATCTTTTTACAGTTGAACTTCTGACTGGTGTTGCCGAGGAGCAGGGTGCCAATCGGCCTAAGATGATCACTTCAAATTTTTTGTCATGTATCAGTGATTCACAAATTGTACTATTTTTGCATTGTAACATCAGTTTTTGCGTATGTTGTTCCCCACTGCGTTTATCCCATGGCAGGTGGAAGAGCTGATGGGCTTTGTGAGTAATGCGGCCGTTGCCTACGCAAAAGCAGCTGCTCTTTTCTACTTTATCCTTGTAGAGGCTCCGGCGCTGTCGCTAAATCCACCTCTTGTACTTACTAAAATGGACAGGCAACGCCTGCGCCGGTATTCCGAAGCAGTGAACATGCGGCAGAGTCTATGTAGCTCTGAAAGACTTGGGCAACAGCGATCGCAGAGAGGATTCAGTGCCATGTGGGCACATGTGCAGCTGTGAGTGGACATAGGGCCAGGGCACGGGGAAAAAAGGCCTGATGGTTGGTTTATGCCTGCAGTCTTCTCAACTTTCTTGTGCACTGATATATAAGCGCTTGGAGGATTGACAATTGCAGGAGGTATATCTGTGGGCTCAGGTTTACTGTGGCTTTCCATCTTGAGGGAGGCATAGAACATGCGCAGTCTCAGAAAGACTCGAACGAAAAGAAACCTGGGTAACATAATGGATATATCGTGTCGCAAGGGCATTGTACATACTTTTCACGCTTCCTTTCGGACACTTCATGGTAAATCAGGGATGTATTTTTTTCCAGCACACAGGGAGGACGACTGAACGAGGAGTGGTTCAAGGTCCTTAATACTACGACTCCATGTACGGGCTTCCTTCTGTTTGCGTTCCGCAGGATAATTTGCGTTGTGTCATGCACCACAAGCTTTAACTAGCAGTCGATCTAGATCGTTCCCCGATGTTCGAGGTGCTAGTCAGCTATTGATGTCAGATGCTGCGGCAGAGTGCGCAGTTGGTGGTTGTAGAGAGTGGCCGCCGATGCTGTAGTCACTGCAAGGCTTAGAGGTCCAGGGCTGCTCTGTGCAGCTGGTGCCTCTATGTGGTGTGGAGCATGGGCGAATACTGCCCAAGTCGAGACGCTACCAGGCAATTGAATGTCAATGAGCATCGCACAGCCTCTCATCATAGGTGTCACAAATGTGAAGCCACAATGTAAAAAGTGAGGCTTATGCGTGCTGTGACTTCGTGTGAATGCCAGTGTTCTAAGCGAGGGTGCAGCAAAGTGGCTAGTACCTGCCGGCAATGCCGCAAGTGTGTGTCTCTAATGCATGTTGTTCAAGTGGGGTGCTAGATTGATTGACAGTGCTTCAAGGATTACCACGAGAATAAAGAAAGCTCGCATGTCCTCAACTTGACTGCTATAAGCGCAGGTGAAAGGCAATAGAATAACGTCGCTTCTTCAAGCAGTACCATGGACATGATAAGGGCTTGCATGTCCTCGACCAACGCACTCTTAAGGGCTTGCATGTCCTCGACCAACGCACTCTTAAGGGTAGTTGAATTGCAATACAGTGACTCTTCCATTACTGGAAAAGCATTGTGATCCAGTACGGCTCGGCGTTCAAAACTCGGTGGACGCTTTGCAATCGGCACAAGTGAGGCACATGCAGTCTCAGAAGAAGCTTGGCAGGAACATGCATTTTCAGAAAAAACGTGGCAACCTAGAGGATCATCTTCATAACTCTGACGTGCACGGCACTGTATTGTATCAAGCAGGAGAAGAGCGCATCTTCGTTAATAACCCCTCTTGGCGCAAGACCAGTAGTAGTGAAGATTCTTGGTTCTGTGGGAGCTGATGGTGGCGCAATAAGGTAGGCAGGTCGCTGTCAGCTGTATTTGGAAGCATACGAGGACCTCTTGTGCACTGGGTGTGATGAAGAGCGGCCATGGCACTCTGGCAGGAGTCTGATGGGGCAGTTGACGGCATTCCCTCATTAAGTTCCAATTGCAATTTTGTTGGGACTCCTGTCTCTCTGTTGTGAAGCATTGGGACAGTCATCCAACCGAACTGCCGGCACTTCCATGCACCAATTTATCGACATGAAGGAAGAATGGCAGTAGCAGGGAAGAGCAATTGTTTGCGGGGGAAAAAAAACTTTAGCGGTGGACGAGAAGCAAGGCCGTCAACTGATGATCAGCTCAAGTTCAGGCCTTACTTATGGGACGTTAGTCAATAGCACAAACTGGACCGGTTCCTAGTGCAAAGGAGCAGCAATTGGCAGCAGCAGCCATGGGCAGCATGCGTATGGAGTAGCAAATCACCAGGACAGAGTTGCGTGCAAGCACACAGAATAGCCTGCTGCTGGATGGAGGCTGGCAGCAACGGAGGTAAAATGGACAGCATGACAGATCAGTTACAGAGTTTACAGAGCAGTCATTGGAGGGTGACATAGCGGGCGGCAGCAGCGTATGGTGCTTTGCCCTGGATACGCCTGCTCTCTTCCCACTGGTGAGAGTGCACAGATTGAATGATGCTAGATGCATGCTGTTAAGTGTACATCATGTTTGCGGCTGCTGACCGCTTGCAGAAAACAGTCCTTGCTGCAAGACCACCTACCAGTGACTGCTGTTTGAAGTCGTCATCATTGTTATCCATGATGGGCAGCCGGCGGCACGGCATGGCATGGCTGGGGGAGTAGTGGTTCCTTGCGACAAATGCTTTCGGATCACCTGGTTGGATGTGCATACGCGGCAAACGTGGCTAGAGGAACCTTGTAGCAAGAACATCTCGGATGCAAACAGCACCGGGTAGGACATGCTGGTGAAAGGGCATATACTTAGAGAGAGACTTGAAGGTGGAGATGAACACATCTTCTTTCACTTTGCCTATTCTAGGATCCCCTGTAACATGCTCAGGGGAGCACAAGCTGCTGAGCATCATCGCTGAAGTGGATATCGGCAATGCAATGGGTAAGGCCATTGTGCTTGTTGCTGTGGATGCTTCAGTTGGGAGAGGGAGGAGGAGCTGGGAAGAAAATGAAGAGGGAGAGCTCCTGTGTGTGATGGGTCTCTTACTTGCTAACATGTACATAAAACAAGATGAATAATCGATAAAAAATGCTCGGATGGACAGAATACCGGATATGCTGTTATCCTGAAATTAATCCACTTCTTTGCTGGAAATAGGAATTTCTAAGCATGCAGGCATGTTGTTGTATTGGTGGGGGGCGATTGGGCTGCGTGGGTGCCAGCAGCTTCTCTCCTGTAGCCTTCAATCTCAACAAGTTCACAGCACGATCGTGTGGTAACAGTTTTGCTGACACATTAGTGAAGCAGATCAGTGTGTGTGCTGCTTTTATCCAGTTGCTCAGAGCTTCAGTTGTGTGGTAGGAAATTTGGGGGGGGGGGGGGGGGGGAGAGGGGGGGGGGGGGGGGGGGGGGGGGGGGGGGGGGGGGGGGGGGGGGAATACACGGGGCCCGAGGAGCAGGGTCGGGGTCGGGGTCAGACTGCCAGCCTTTCCGAACTGTTGTAGTTTCCGTCACTAGTGTGAAACTCCTTTGAAGTCCGCATTTCATTCCTTACATTCAGATTGCTTTCCTATATTTAAACAGCTCTTTCGAAAGGATATGCATACTGCGCATTTGTCTTTGCTTACCGTCGTTTCAATTCTACTCTATGCTTGCCGTCGTTTCAATTTTATTCGAGCTCGCCAGTGATCTCTCTGTGAAAGCAAAAGCACCAAGGGGCGGATTGGGAATTCCGTGCAGTTCTAGGTCTGCTGCGTGGTGGCGTCAGGAGAGAGAAGGGGGAATGGCAGCAGGCATGGAAATATATAGTCCAAACTTTTTCAACTCTTTAAGTTTGAACGCAGAATAGTTCTGGAAGTCGATAATCGGAAGTTTGATGAAGCTTAGGAGGAGGTCAGAGTATTTGTTGATTCGTGAAGAAGCGTAGGCGTTGAAACTTGCAAGGTCGTATGGCAGGAAGGCTACATTCACATTCACTGGCTTTCATTCGAATTCGTACACCTCAGTGCTCGTTATCGCCGTGTAGTCTGTAGTTGAGTTTCAGCCGCCGATCAAGGTGCCGTCTTCTTCACTTTCCTTGGAGGAGGGAGTTTCAGCTGCCGATCAAGGTGCCGTCTTCTTCACTTTCCCTGGAGGAGGAGATGAAAGGGTTGGAGGGAACCCTTTGTACCGCAAGATGGGAGAATGTAGAGTGCAATATACAAATGTGAAGTGGATAGGGTGAAAGGCAGTGAAGGTGTTGGAGGACTTATTCACTGATTTTAATGAATACTTTGAACTTTGAAGCCTTCTTTCTGGCAAGGCTTGGTATTGGTGAGATGGGCTGGCCTGTGCCGTTGTAAATTGGTGAGTCGTGAGGACAACATGGTTATGGGCAAAGCTTTTGCTTCGGTGGACAATAGTACAGTAAGTATCACAAAGTTCTATGTAGTCATGCCCTGTAAGCACCCACCCCTGTACCCCTGCCATCTCTGTACACTACTCTCTCTCCCTCTTCCTTTTTTTTTCTCTTTTTTTTTTCTCTTCTCCTCTCAACCCTTCTCTCTCTCCTCTCCTTTCTTCCCCCCTCTTTGCGTCTATTCCGCACTAGTGTGCACCCTTTTCTGCAATACTTTCTTCCCTTCTGTACTCAATTCATTGCATTATCTGAACAGAAATTCAGCGTGTAGAACATGTGCACAGTCTGCAGATTTTTTTTGTTAATCTAAGAAGAACACTTCTTCCCAAATTCTGTATTCTGTGGAACCTCACCACCTTCTCCTTCCTTCCTTCCTTTCTTCCTTCCTCACCACCTTCTCCTTCCTTCCTTCCTTCCTTCCTTTCAAGTCTGTGCAACACTAGGTCTACTATGTTGTTATCTTTTCTCTGTTCTAAAGGGCAGAACCACAATAGAGATACGTCTTTGAGGTGCAGAAATATTCCTCCGACAGAGGATGGTGTATGCCCATTTCCCTTCTTTTCCCCTTTTCTTGTTTTGTTCGAGGACTCTTCTCTCGTGAAATTGCCTTTCGTTGCTTTCAAACTTTTTGATCCATCAATCAGCATTGCAAACAACGGTAAAGCTCTCGGTCCTCCGATTTCTAATATTTTTGTTGCTGCGGCCTAGTGTGTTGTCAAAACATGCAGATCTTGCGTTGTTGCAAAGAAAGTGTCCAAGCTTTCCCAAGCATCTGAGTCTCCTTCCTGCTTCAATCCATGGAGGCCTTGAACTGGGCCATTCCACGGCGCGCGCAAACCATCATTTTGTTCTCCAATCCACACTGTCATGGCCCTCATCACAAGTGCAGTGTTCTCTTCTAAATTGTGAGGCAGGGCTCCTCATCAAGGAGTGTGTTGGCAGAATTCTTCCAAAGATAGCAAGTACATGGGGTAAGTTCACTCGTCAGTGAGCCCTGGACCCCCTTGTCCCCCCCCCCCCCCATCCACTCTCCCTCTTTCCTCCTCCTCCTGCCCTACGATGCATGCACAATCATGCATTCCTACTCTCTAAGTTATACATCACGTAGGCAGAAGCCTTGCTAAGATTGCAAGTGGACACTAACTTGGATCTTCTGCCTGTGTTTGCTCCTTTCCCTCCCCACACACCCCTGCATAGAGTCCCCCAGTAGGGTCAGTAGTCATAACGTTCGCGAAGCGAAGCGTACACCTGTTGAGTAGCTGACTGTGGCTCGAAAGCAAGGGGAGAATCACTGTGTGTGGGTACTCTGTGTCCGAGAACGAAGTAGAACCGGGATCTTGTACTTTGTGTGGGTGTGGACGTTACATTCACTTGTCTGCGTGCATGGGACAAGTGAACGGTTTGGGCGATAGCATGCATAGACCAAGGAACGTTAGAGAGACAAATTAGGAAAAGCTCACGTCCAGCCTGTGGGACTTGTCAAGATTGACAAATGAAATGTTCAAGACGTTTCGAAGAATGTGTTTAGAAGAATATGAAGTGTTTTTGTTTCGCTTGTTTCTTAAATACTATAGGCAAGTCTTATGTAGGAATCTAGGCTACCAGAGTCACCTGGCCGGGCGACCCATGGTACTGGAAAATAGGGCCAAAGATCAGGAACGTAATCGGTTCGAGCGCGAGTCATGAGCTCGTGCTGATTGCATTCCTGGCAGGGACATAGGAGTGACGCGTGGCACGTCTAAAGGGTAGAGATGTAAACAGCACGAGTGTGACGACTCGCTCTTACAAGGCATTCCTCGTTCAAGCCTTATGAGGAATGCCTAGCAAGCATCAATTATTTTGCTTGTGCCGAATGAGCAACCCGTAGTAAGTGTGCATCATCACGCTGAGCTGATTCAAGCCCCTCTCGTTTGTACACATTGAATTCCTCGTCACGCTTACGAGGCATTATGAGGTAATCCTTGTTCACGCTTGGCAGGGACGTGATCAGCATGAGCCGATGAACTCATGCTTACTTGGCATTACTCAAACTCAGCCTTCGGCCGCCTGTCGCTTGGCCCACTCGTTCGTTCAAGATCGGTAATCACATCCATCCCCATCCAAGAAGATGAAGGTTTGAAGAAGAAAATGGAGGAGGAGCGGGAGGAGAAAAAAAACAACTATTTGCAGGAGGAGGAGGAGGAGGAGGAGGGGAAGAAAAAGAAGATAATTAGCTTACCTGGCGGTGCAGAGGGCATGGATGGCCAGGGAGGGGTGTTCACTGTTCATGGCTGTCTCGAGCGGCCACTCGGTGAAAGTTGCGAATTCAAATTTGAATGCCCAGTGTATCTATCCTGGGTGGGCTTGAAGCTCCTCAGGCCACACATGAGGTCTTGGCCGTGGATCATCGGCGATCTCATGTTTGTTAATGGCCAATTCAGGCTGACCCTAATGGGCGAAAACGGGCGTTTTTGAATTTCCACTGGCCTGTCTTGCTGACCCGGGGACTGGATCTAGAATTTGGCTTCCAAATCCAAGGCTGCTCTACCGGAGGCCCTCAAGTCCTTCTGACTTACTGAAAATGGGGTCTGTATATAAGTTATCGGGTAGCCTAATAATTGCAACTTGTTCTGGTCTGACATGGATAAGCCAGGGGCAGAGGTTTAGTCTTTCCCAAACTCCGTAGAGCTTGGAGAGGGATCTCTACCATTGTGACTGACCTAGCCTCACAAACTCTACAACAACTTTCTTGGCTCTCTCTTACCTCTCCTCCAGACCCTTAATGTGTGGTCCAATCCTATCCTCACAAACTCTACAACAACTTTCTTGGCTCTCTCTTACCTCTCCTCCGGACCCTTAATATGTGGTCCAATCCTGTTGTAAACAGCCCAGTCGGCCAGCTGTTTTCGGGCCTTACTGGCCTCAGAAGTAGCCCAGTGAAGTGCAGGTCTTCCCAAACGGGCCACAGTGGACTGCACCTTGGTAACCTCTGGGCAAGTGAGTTCCTTGAGGTACCATCGCATAGAGGCAGTCCAATTTGCGACATCCACTGTGGGGTTATTCTCAGTGAATGTGCCAGGTCGGACTGTCTTTGGACGCCTTGGATTCTGCTGGCCTAGACTGCAGTCACTTTAGCCCCAGAAGTCATAGGGTGCTCTGCCATAAGCTGCAGAGACTGCACCTTTGGAGGCGTAGCTGGTTTGCTCTTAGGGCTACCGGCTTGGGATGATGCAACAGTAGAGGATCTTGGATTGGAATCGGGTGTAGCAGGAGGAGTAAGAGTAGGAATAGTGGGAGTAGGAAAAGGGAAGAAACATAGATTACTAGCTGCCACAAAACGGTCAAAGGAACTTGCAAAGGAGGAAAGTTTAGTCGATGATGGACAATTTGTTCGCCATCGAAGTCAAACTTTCATCCTAGGAGGTTTGTTCTTTCTCGACTTCCTTCTGCTTCTCCATCTTCTCCAGCCGTAACTAGGCTGCCTCTGTAGTGACAGGCAACCTGCAATTCCCTGCACCGACTGAACTCCCTTCCCCCATTCCGGAAGGTTCAAACAACAAGATAAACACGGAAGTTGTCAGAGGCTTGAGATCATTTACTATACTAGTCTACTCAGATATGGAATGTGGTGCTGACTCCAAACCCAAATAGAGTAACAGACTTGCACGGGCTGTTTTCCGACTGACTTGCGGGAATGGCACCGACCAACAAGACTGACCAACAGGGTCGTACATCCAATGGCATCCGTGATAAATCTGTCAACTCCTATTAGTCGGTTCACGCACCAATTCCCAACTCGGTGTAGGACAGTTTTCAGTAGGTGGAGGGACTGACAACAATGACGGACACCTAACCGCACATGAACACAAGTCACACAACCTTGACCAGGGAATATCTTTTCTCAAAATTTTATTTATTTGTTGGTAGAAAACAAATGAAAAATGAGAACTTGATTCAAATTACCGTTCACATGCAGAACACAAATAACAAGAATTAGACTGCGCTGTTTGTATACAAACTGCAAAGGTTAGAGGAGTTAAACAGGCTGGGTAATACTAGGGAAGGTGGTGCCTAATAATATATATTCGCCTAATGATCACAGGGAGAGGTGCACCTTAATACAAGGGCTGGACCAGCTCATACCATTGGTGTCGCCATGTGTGATAGGAGGCGACTGGAATGCCACATTGGACGCTATAATGGACTGTATATTGTGCTCGGGCCAATCAGGACAAGTAGCAACTCGTATCTGTCATCTTACTCTTGAGCATTGTAACGATTTGAACATCCACTATGTAACGATTTGAACATCCACTATAATAAAAAAAGTATGTTTCTCCATAAATTCGAAAAAATATTCATAATTTGTTCATCATTCAATACAGACCATGCAGCCTTATGAATCGGATAGCCTTCAATGTTACATAAATGCATTATGAATTAGATTCAATACTGGCATTTTTAAGATCCTTTTCGCACTCGGTGTCCAACCACAAAAGCATTCACACTCGTCAAGAAGAACAACGCCCACCAGGGTTGTCAGGCGGGGAACCCCGGGGGCGGAGCCGGAGTGGGTGCATGACCCTCGGATCCTCGACGTG